TGAATCCTGGATCTACAGCCTGTCTGTCTTTGCGAGCGGATCCCTCTCAATGTGGGCCAACCGGAGGTTTACCAATTTTTCCCAATTTTTCCCAATTTTTGTGTGTATCATTCCTTACTGATGCAGTTCGCTCTATGAGGACAGTGATGATCCGGGACAAGGATTCTTCTTCACTTACATTTACTGTTGTATTATGTTCATACGTTTGTAGGTTACTCCACTTCATATTGTAACATATACATAGTTCCTACATGACGTCACTACATACGGGGATTTGCCGACCCGGCGCCATTTGTGTTGGCATTCTGTGGGCAAAACAATAGAAAAAGAAGCTGAAACGTGTTAATGTCGTGATAAAGTTGAAAATGGTCATCTCCTGCTGGGTCAATGGATGTTCAAATCGTGCCGGAGGTTCCGTTAAACTTGGATTTTACAGTATACCCATCATTAGACTTCATGAATGTGAGAAGACTAAGCTTTTGTCAGAACAACGACGGAGGTTATGGCTTGCGAAGATAAACAGGCAAGAAACTCCCTCAAAACACGCAAGAATATGCTCGGAGCACTTTGTGTCAGGTGCGTATCGTATCTTATAATGTGTTGACAGACGTAATTTACTCAGTACTAACTTGTGTATGCTGATAGCTGGTAACTTGAGAGTTTCATTATTTAGCGTTAGATTACTTTATTATGAGGAGGATCGGTGTCGCGTCCGAGGCTCTCGAGGGCAACGTAAATGTATTAAATAGATAATAATAGTTCTATGGTGGGCTAAAACAATGTTCACAAACAGCATTGCTTCTGTAAAAAGATCTGTGTCATAAAATAAACTGCTCTTTACGCCTGGAAAAATCAGTTGCCCACCATTCACCAAAACATACGGTCAAAAACGCGGAAATAAACAATAACAGCAATCCAGAGTGTCCGTGTGGCATTAGCATTAATTAAATTAATTGTTAATATAATTAAAATAATTAAATGGAGCTCCAACTGGTATTAAATCTAAAGTTTTTGAGAAATGTTTGCATTGCTTGTTAATTTTTGCTGCATAATTTGATCAAATATGTAAAACATGTCCGTAGCACGTTAAACTGTGGTGCCATTGTATTAATATACAATTATTTGCTCAAAAGTTGCCCTTTTTTTCCAATTTGCGTTTGAATATCTACATTTATTCTCATTCTTCTGTTTATTGGAATGCACAAACACAGCAGCGTGCCATCAAAGATGGCGTCTATGAGGAGGTCATGTGACATTCATTGGTCTGTGGGAACTATGTATTGCTTAATGTCTGTCATTTGGTGCACACTGGGGTAGTCTTGCACAGTTTTTCCTATGTGGTTTTACTGCAAATGGCAAATAAATGAATCTGAATCTGAATCTGATTTCCGGTGTTTTCTTAAGTTTAAAAAAATATATATTTTATGCCCTGTGGTACTCAAACGAATTGCCTCTGGTGGGATTAATAAAGTCGTCTGAATTGTAATCTTCCTATGGACCAATGCAGATTTAGGGCAACACAAAAATACATTGAATTGAGTTGAATTTTTGAAACATAACCAAAAACGCGACTGTATCTGCGAATAACAAGAGCGAAACACAAATTGTGAGCGGCCTGTTTGTCATATGGACATCTCCAATAAAATCCACTGCCCTGACATCTTGGATTGATTCGTGCAGAGCGTGAAGACGGAGCAGCAGCACTGGACTCAGACTTGGCCACACACACTGGAGACACAGTTTCTGGGGGTATAGTGCATTTGTAAGTGATGAGGCCGTCTGGCTCTAAAACCTGTGTTATTCATAGAGCCATATACTGGGAGAGGTGACAGGCCAGTTCACAGCAAGACTACAATAACATGCTATTTTTGTACATGTTTTATAACTGTTTATGAGGTTACCATGGCGATCGCCTTAGGCAGGCAGTTTGGAGTATGACTGCCAATCAATCAGAACTGTTTCAAAACTTTTTTTCATCAATAATTTGTTCACTAGAGATACACAAACCTTTCCGACCCACAGGCAAATATGTGCTTAACTTGCAGCATCCATCGACTCATAAAGAAAAACATCATTTTCATAAATTTTTCATCTTTGGGAAATTAAAATAATCTTTCTCCATTATGAGACATAAACATCCAGCGCTAACTTGCATATTAAATGAACAAAGCTTTCCAGTCTCGTGCTTGGGAATAAACCCGTTTGTTGACAGATAGTTAAAGCTGGGGTACGTGACTTTGTTTAGTTAGTTTGATTAATTATTCATTGATCTCGCAATGGAAAAAACATATACGTACATGTCGAGTTTTTTTGTAAACGTTTTGTTGTTAAATCAAATTTAATATAATAACATGGTATTCAAAATAATAACATGGCAAAAATAATGTGTAATACCCAGTTTAATTAATACGTTTGCAACCATATACATTATTCCACAATGTAGGGTTTCCATCGTTTTCTCTTAGACATTGCATTTTTTTATTTTTTTTTACAGCCACCACCTCCAAAGCCAAAAATTCTTTTTTGTTTTCTCAAAATTTCAAGCACCGCATTTGGCATTGGCTTCCTCTGCACTCCATTTCATCCTGTGTCTCACTCATTACTAGCTTTGTAATCAGAACGACTGCAGCGCGGGTCTCAGGCATTCACCGACTCAATTGGAAAAAATAGAAATCTTTTTGCAATTTGACTGTTTCCACTGAAGAGGAACGAGCGGCGGTCTGACTTACACGGGGAGGTATCGTGTGAATCGTTCCCATAAAACCATGAACAGCTGTACAAAAAATACGAATGGGACCTCAGTGTGTGGGATTAGAAAGATACAATAAAGAAGAGGTGAAAGGATGTTGTTGGTTGAATTCACTCTAGATGCATTGAAACTCCCACGTTTTTGTGCTAACATTAAAGGTCCCATAGTGAGCTATTCTTCATGTTTCACAGTCCATTCTATTAACATGTGTGATAGTAAATTGAGTGATACACCATACAACACTCAACACTTGTGAGATTATAGCCATCTCTTGCATAGGGTTGATATCAGCTCAGTTGGAACAAGCTGTTTCTCTCTGCCTCCCCCTGCCCCGCTGATTTCATTATTATTATTTCTATTATCATTATTATACTATTTTGGACAACAAGCAGCATATAGTATTTATTGTGTATTGTTTTCCCTGTTTTGATGACATTATTTAAGAACTATTAAAAAAATGTATTGATACAAAAATGGGCTTTTGCGGCATCCTCATAATCTATGTTGAAATTGTCATAGATGTGAACCCGGGCGCTTTGCTGCCTCTCAAGAATGAAAGAGAAAGATCGCTCTCTAACTAATGCTGAAGGAATCGATAAGAATGAACTAAAACAACTCTGGACATGAGTATGAAGGCCAAATAGCACTGTAGTGATGTTTAAACTCGAGAAAAGTCAAAAAGCGTAATGTGGGAGCTTTAATTTTAAGTCCTATGGCTCACAATACTGCAGAGATAAACAAATACGTTGTTTTTGGCACTTTTGTTTCAATTTTGTTTTCTACTTTTATTAATGTAAACCACCAAATAATACATGTTGTTTTGTGGTACTGTTCCTTTAAATGTTAGTTAAACGGAGCGTTTCCGCATCCGTCCTTTAGAGGGCGCTTTTGTTTTTACTGTGAATGCTCTGCCATCTTCTGAGACGTTGGACATCGTATGTAAGAAAAAACAATGTACAAAAGTATTTAAAATACTTCTGAAATGTGTGATTAACAACTTGTTTTGGGTTCTTAGAGTTGATAATAACAGCAAGAGGTACCGGAGACAAGGATTTTTTTGAGTTTGTGTGTTCTTGATCCCCGGTGAGTCTGTTGCTATGCTAAGCTAGTTTATGCTAAGCTAGTTAATGCTAAGCTAGTTCATGCTAAGCTAGTTCATGACACTGCATTTTCTTTTGACATTATATCATGATTATTTCTTTAAAAACCAATCGGAGAGAATGTGAAACTATAAATAGATGAGAACTATTTACAGAAACATGATTATAAGAAGGGTTTTACATTACAATGTACAATGTTACATTTGACTGCTGCGCACTGTGTAAAATCCTACAAGCTACAGTATGTGATTAGTTGTAGTTGGAGATTAGCTAAAACTCATCTATATAAATATCGACTATGAGAGAATTACATTAATGTTATCCTGCTTGTGCAGGTTTTTTTTTTTTAAGATCTGAGGACTGTTTGGTGCTTGGCTGGTGTCACAGAGTTTGCAACGTCTTGTCGCCTACCATGTCCGTTCATCCACCTTGGCCTTCGTCTAAAACAGCTGAATAGCTAAGATTTCATGCACATTCAACAACAGTAAAATCAAACTACCCAGGTAGATGAAAACTATTTTTTTTCAGAGCTCTGAACTTTATTTTTTTGGTTAATCCAAAGGGACTGGTAAACATTACATAGGGGTAACATTGTTTTTCAAGGTTCATCTGTGTTTCAGAAATAAATGCCGGCTTTTGTTAACTTTTCATACTAAACATTTCTGGTCTAAAATTATTAAGCCTCCCTTCCTCCTGTAGAATCCTAGAATCACAGGGGTTCACTTTATACAGGTTACATTAACATGTTTGCACTTTTCCTGTCTTTTGCACATCCTGAGAGATCCTATTCAAGTTTTAATTCTATTATCTTGCTATAGCACTTGAAGAGTTCATCCGCAAAAACCGATATCCGCCATTTTTGAAAAAAATTAGCTAACAGTTGATTTTCACTGCCTGTATAGCGCTCTTTCAAATGCTCAAATTCTATTTTCTCAAAACCCGATATATCCCTGTTTAAATCTCCATCAAACTTCCTGTTTGGTGACAAAAGCCGGTAAGCGCCGCAGCTGTTTCAGAGCAGAAGCCGATATCTCCGTTCAGCGAATCAGCGAAGCGCATTTTCAGCACGTGACCTACCTGTCAGTGCGAGTTTCATAGAGCGACAACAAGCGACTTTCACGACACAATTTGGGGATTTATCATCGTAATCCATGGCTGGCTTTGACGATGCGGAGGAGGCGGTTCTTTTGTCACCTCGGGGACGCAAAAGAAAAAGGAAACCAGAGGAACACGACCGTAAACTAGCCAAGAATGCCCGGCATAGTGGTGGCGCGAACGCAGCTGTTGCTTGTGTACATAACAACGTGAATGTTTGTCAGGCAGCCAAGTTATCCCCAGAAGACATCGATTACATGCACCACACCTTGTATACCACCACAGACAAGGTAAAGCAAGATGCCACGCTCTTGTCATACATGGATGTCACCGCAGTAAAACGGAGGAGATCAAAGATAGAAGACAGTGCGCAACAGAAGTCCAGAGACCTGACGGTGAAATATTCCGTCTTGACCAGAGCACGAGATAGGATCCCAGTCTGCAAATCCTCATTCATGAGCCTATTCTGTGAGTATTTTGAGTTTATTATTTCAAAAAAAACATTTGATTATGTAATAGTTCCTTTTCTAATAGTGTTGTAGTTTGTCTTTTGTGTGTATTATTAACATAATATTAATATTTAACATGATGGGGAATTGCTATAAACCTTTCAGAAAACTCTTGCGTGTATTTAATCTGGAGTCATAACATATTATTTGACAGTGATTTATAATTAACTAGTCTTTGACAATACAGTACTGGGGCATACATAGACTGTTCTCTGCAGTGTTTGTTTTTATTAACAGTAGTTGAAGCTATTTACTGCAATTTCCCTCTGGATCAATAATGAATCTATTTATTAAACAAACTTTTTAGTGACATACTTTTGCAAAGATGTAGCTAATATAATTGATCTAACTTAAAATAATCTGTGATTACAGGTGTGAAGAAAGATCGTCTGTGTAACATCGCCAAGTTTTGGAAACAGAATGGGGTGCCAATGCCGGAGCGCCGTGGAGGAGCACGGAGGTCCGAAGAGAGGGCAGCTAAGAGAGAAGCCATCAGAGAGCACATCCAGACTTTCACCTGCAGAGCCAGTCATTATGCGCGCAGAGCAGCACCTGGTAGAAAGTACCTTCCTGTTGATCTGAACGTTAGGAAGATGCATGAACTGTTCCACAGTCAGAATGAGCAGCAGATCTCCTATGCATTATACTATAGTGTGTTCATGTATGACTTCAACTTAGGATTTGGACATCCTGCAAAAGACGTTTGTAGCACCTGCATAAAATCCCGACTGAAACTGAAAGATCCTGAGATGTCAGATGAGGAAAAGCGCAAGGAGGCTGCTCTATTCATGTTGCATAGACGCAAAGCGCGCAAGTTTTATGATTGTTTAAATGCTGTGAGTGACACTTACACTGTATCATTTGACATGATGCAAAATCTAGTGCTACCAAAATCTGCCATTGGACAGACATATTATTCAAGGCAGTTATATCAGTATGTGTTTGGAGTTGTGCGTCATCGTGGTCGTGGTGCAGGTCAGAAAAAAGATGTCCATCTTTACACATGGCTAGAAAATGAAAACAAGAAGGACAGTAACATGGTGGCATCTGCTTTGCAACATTATCTGAGTCGTGTTGCTTGTAATGAACTTAGTCACCATAAAGAACTCAGACTATTTTCTGATTCTTGCTATGGGCAAAATAAAAATGTAAGCATGCTCGCTATGCTTTTTTCTCTCAAAAAGGCAACACTAAAAAACGTAAGAGTGGAATATACATTCCCTGTACGTGGGCATAGCTTTATGCCCCCTGACCGTGTCTTTGGACGCCTGGAGCAGGAAGTTAAAAAAAATGACACTATCCTGCTTCCATCAGAGTATGTGAACATTATGGAAAAACATGGAAACGTACACGTTTATGGACAACACTGGGAGTGCTATGACTTTAAAGCTGCTGCTGCAAAACATTGTACCGCATCTCGCTCATTTAAAATAAGTGAAGCCAAGGTTCTGGAAATCAGTGGGGACAAAGTAGGCTTTAAGCCGCAGTATGGTGGAGATTTCTGTTACCACAGTCTTTTGAAACGTGGGAAAAGATGGGAGACCTTCAAGCCAGCACTCGCTCAAAGAGTAAACTGTGTGAAGGCAGCTAAAAAAGCCGATGTCCTAAAACTGCTTGGAGAGCTTGGGGTAGGTGACGCAGTCACTACATTCTGTACAGATGCGTTAGTTGGAGCAGGATGCGATGCAGGCAGACAGGACTTGGTGGAGAGTAGTGATGGGAATGAGGAGTGAGTGAGCAGATAGTGAACAGATTCTCACAAACTTTGAGAGGGCAAATGAATTAATCAAGCTGAGCCCAAGTCTAATATGAAGCTAAAGCTGGTGAAACCTTTTTAATTTACTTTACATGTTTTGTCCCAATAGTCTTGCGAATTGAAATTTGCCTCTTTGGACTATAAGCTGATTGGTTTGAGTGAGGATGGTCCTTTCTCTTTCTGAAGAACCTGATCTAAAGATGACAGGAACCCAAAATACATGGAGGTGAAATAAAATCGAAATCTAGAGGCATGTTACTTGAATTTTGTTACATAGGTATTTTTTTTGGTTTCAAAGCTTTAATATGCCATATGTTGCAATGAGTTAAAAACCCTTAATGTTGCACTTGATACATTTCACTTACATGTTGCATCATTTGTTTTGTAGTGCACTAAAATGAATTGCTCCAAAGAAAATGTTCTTTTCCATAGATTGTTTACAAGTTTGCACTTTTTAAATGTTGCCTTGACCTTGTGTTTTCAAAGATGATATAATTTTGTGTTACAGTATCCGAATAACTTGAATGTATTGTCACTTTTAAAAGCAATGGTTTAGCATGTTTGAAGTTTGTTTTAAGAAAAATGTATTATATCGGTTAATTCAAAGATGTACAGGCTTAATTTATGTCCTTTATTTAATGTAAACACAATAATTGCGGAGTTAACTGTTTTTGACAAAAAACGATTGTTGGATTTATCTGCTTTTGTGCACAAATATTTATTTTAAGTTAAAAATAAATTATAATAAATAAAGTTATATTTTTGGAAATGTCTACTTTTGTCAAGTGTTTATTCCTTTGTTGAAGCCAGTAAAGTTTACCAACCTAAGTGTTCCCATAAGATTAAAATATAAAAGAGGGTTTATTGACATTTCATAAAAACGGAGATATCTGCTTTTGCAAATAAACTCTTCACTTTAAGTTGCAGCAGCTGAGGTGGTGTAGCCGCTTATGAACCAATTGCTCTCTGTAATTTTTTATTGTTGCATTTTTTGCGTTCGAACTGTTTTAGTGTCTGATCTGCGTTGTCCAATCAACAACTTTCTAAAGTCCACTAGAGCTGCAACTAACTCTAGTGATTATTTTGTAATCGATTAATCTATCGATTATTTTTACGATTAATCGAGTAATCGCTTGGCTGTGAATTGTGTAGAAAAAAAATATTTTTTCATCACAAAAAGCTAAAGTGGCAACACTCGAGAACGTATTTATGGCGTAAACTTAAAGTAAATGTTTGTAACAGGCTTTTTGTGCTAATTCTGCTATCTGATTGGATGAGACAGACAGATATTCATGAAATTATAAAAACAAAGTCGGTTTTAATCAAAAATACTACATTTTCATGTCATTTTTCTCTGTTTGAGTTCGTGTGAACCAGAAAACGATTAATCGATTACTAAAATAGTTGTCGACTTTCAATAATCGATTAGTCGTTGATTAATCGATTAGTTGTTTCAGCCCTAAAGTCCACCGTGATAACTACTGCTGTGATTTAGGGCGATGCTAAAATGAATGACATTGAATTGAATTGAATCGTACGTATTCACTATTAAACAGCAATGGGGCAGAAGCTTACGGACTGCCAAAACATGTGAAGTTTAATCGACTTTTGTTTGTTTTTTGATTCATGCATTCGTATTGCATCACAACTGTGCACCTGACAACACATCTTAACATTTTACAGTTCAATGAGTTCCTGCTTTGTTGCTTAGGGCCAAAATCAAAGTTGAATTTCCCATCCCCACCAGTGTTTTGGAATTCCGCTTGAACTTGAAGCCGCTCTGTACTTACTAACAATCCGTACAGTTTCTCTGGGACCGGTCTGGCTAACAGGCTCATTCCCACTCTTCAATAATTTACAGTGAGGGGGCCCGGGAACATCCACGAGCTTTTGCTGGCGTCATATTTTATTTCATATTAGTCACTGGTCCGGGAATTAATTATTTACATGCATGGTCCCTGGACTGCAGCGCGAGCAGCTCCAGATGATTGGTTAACCTGCTACTGGTAAATTAGATTCACTCCAGGCTTTTTCTCGGCCGCCATGTTTTATTTTTCCCTCCACAATCGACTCCTGCGAATGCAAAGTATACTGTTTACATATTTATTGCAGCCAAATGAATATTAATAAACATGAATTGTGCCGTGTCTGTTTGCGTACTGGATGTTTAGAGCAAATGTTTTTCTTGCTCCATGCACTGATTTTTTGAAGTAATGTGTCTATATTTGGATTTCTTCTTCTTACAGATCGACAGACTATGGATCCACGTACGAGAGGATGAATGATAAAGTGGGGTCCAAGACGGTTCTGAGTTATCTCTATGTCTGTCCAAGCAACAAGAGAAAGGTAACATCCTGGTACTAACTATCCTGGTCTTACAATACCATGGTACTCATTTTTTTTTCGGACTAAGGTCTGAATTTTCTCCATTGAGCTCCGTTGATAGGTTAGCAAGGGTTAACTAATTGTGATTGGTGAGAGAGGAATTTAGCATTTAGCCTAGCTTTAGCCATCTCCTTTGCCACTAACGGAGCCCGTGGGGAGTAGAGCCTCAACGTCTTTGCTAGCAATGACATTTGCTGAAAATTCCTCTAGTTTCGGCTTACATTTCTTGATATTTTGGAGCCGAACCAGAAGAGCTTCCTTTACTGTCGCATTCATCCCCATTGCCAAACTACAAACAGCAAATTCGGTGCAAACTTTTCACCAATACCTACCAACAACACCCGCATCTTGCGCTCACTGAATGGTCGGAGGGGATCCAACCGAGCTAACTGCACACACTAGGACCAGACCTAGACGTGCATGCAGGAAATAATAATTTACCGGAGTTTACGGATGACTAAGGTCAGGCTACTACTGTAACTAGCAAGGCAAAAAGACAGTCGTAAAAATCTCAAGCAGAAGGTGGATTGCTGTAATGAAGCATGAGAATGTTATACTGTACACATGAGAAAACATTACATTTAAGAGATTAATCGAGAGATCCTTTATTATTCCCAAAGTGGGGAAATTTTTGTGTTGCATCGCAAGTTACAGAGCAGTAGGAATGAGGATCGCACAACACAAGATAAATTAACAATTACTTTAAACTAAACAAAGTAAAATTACATAGAATCTCTAAATTTAGCATGAACAAGAAGCAGTATAAAATCTCCTGCTTTAGCATAATGAAGAAGCTAGAAGTAAGTCCAAATCTGTGACTGTTGCATAGTAAGAAGTAAGTATAGAATCTCTAGCTTTGGCATCCTAAAGAAGAATTATATAGTATATGATGTAACAGTGTGTGTGCATAAGGGAGTGGGTGAAAGGCAAACATATTTATAGACGTTAAAAGCAGACTCAAAGCAACACATTCCAGCCGAACAAACAAGCAAACATGGATTAAAAATACATACATTTGAAAATGTGAAAATGATTAAAGGTTGTATATCACTGTGATTGTCCCTGTGCTGGTATGTATGTATGTAGCTGAGTTGTTATGGTATGTAGATGGGTTGTTTTGGTATGAAAAAAACATGTCTGATCTGTGGCCCTAATTCATGAGATGGAACTATTCTGATTAATAGTAATAATAATAATAGTACATTTTATTTAAAAGCGGCTTTCAAAACAGCCAATGACACTGTACAATCATGATTAACAGCAGTGCAATTAAAAACATTAACATTAATAAAAACAGAAAACAACAGAACTAAACCAAGGTGTTGGAGTGACTGGTCATGTGGGGGAAAAAAAGTCTGAAAATGATTAATGATCAATACATTGTAGTCAGTAAGTTAGTAATATATATTTATACAGCGCTTTTCACAGACCAGAGTCACAAAGCTCTTTACAACTGTTATCCACACAGAGATGGGAGCGAGGTCACTGAACAGGAGGCACATGCCAGAACTATTGTACATGTTTTTAGTGGAAAGGGTAACCTGGAGGAAATCTAGGCAGTCACGGGAGAACATGCAAACTCCGCACAAAAAGTTTTGGAGGTGGATTCAAACCCAGGACCTTGAAGCGCGCCACTGTTTATGCTAACATTATTGTTTTTTGACCAACTCACTTTGAATTATATTTTTAAATCTATAGTTTAGTTTTAGTATGACAGAAGCATGCAAAGTTTATACTAAAACCATCCAAATAGAATCTTGATGTAAATCTTTATAGCTGATATGTATCAATATGTATTAATCATTTTATCCCACATTTTTTCTTTAATGTCTTCCAGCGGTCATATATTTAATGACCAGCAGTGAAAGCAAAAACAAAGAGTGGTAAAATAGTGCAAACATGAACACAGCCAGCTGCTATAGCCATCTGCCAATGTCTTTATAGTGAAAAGACTTCTGTCAATTAGTTTTAGCTTTTTCTCCCAAAGAATTAAGTTAAGTAATGCTGGTTATTTCTTGCCATCTGTTTTTGTCTGGAATCAATTTGGTTTAATGAAAAATTGTGGGCATATTCTCTGTTGGTGCATTTGATAAAGGAGGCAATTGATCGGGGAAAACCAAGTGGTCTTATGGGACTATGGTATGGATTTCTCAAATCTGACAGAACAGAAGGTAGATTCTAGTTCCCACAACTCACAGCCCCTGAACGGTGTGAGGGAAGAGCTGAGGAAATACTGTTTCTGTGATAGTGGAATATTTACACCAAAAATGTTTGCATTGTTTAACATTGACACCAAACTGTCGTTGTGTCCTTCCGCAAGACACTTCACTCACATAGTCTGGAATAAATTTGGTGTGTGTGTGAATGGTTGGTGGTGGTCCGAGGGGTCGATGGCATATACTGGTTGCCAGTGGCGGCTGGTGGAATTTTCTTCTGGGGGGGCTATGAATATGATGACTAGATATATACCAGCAGTAAGTAAGTTTACACTGACTGTTGTGACTGAAGCCTCACACGAGAATCGCAGGGCAAGTTCAAATGCACCACAGAATTTGACACAGTCTATTATTTTTGATAGGATGTGCCTATTCTTGTCAACCTCCTCATTGTGCTTTCTGATCCCTACCCTGTAGCTTTCATCCAGCTGGGATGAAATATTTATCTTCCCAAACATAGCTAATTTGAGGGCATTTTGCATGTGGATACCAGTCTGCTCATGCTTCTTTGCCTTTTCTAAAAAGTGCTTCAGATCAGTCATACCTGTCTTGATCCATGCTGGGTCAGATCCTGATGTTTGAAACAAGAGTTATGGAAAGCAAAATAAAGCATTAGCCTCGCTACATGCTGCTAGCCAAGATTTGGCGCTGAACCAGGTCCTGGAAAAAGTACGAGTGTACCGTCTCCCCCTGTCGCTGGACTGCTGACTAATGGTAATATTTGGCTGATCAGGTCCAAGCTCTTTAACCTCAACCTTCTCCTGGTATGATCTTCTCTCAAACGGTATTGTTTTGAGTGATCTAACTGAATTATTCTTTTTTTCGTTCTCCATTTTGCGTCTCTTTACGTTCGTCTCAAACTCCCACAGCTTGACCTGTCAATCACTGTAAACGGACGTCACAGACAGTGACAGTACAGGTCGCGGGCGATCCCGCCCCCTCAGGGCGCACTTCTCCTGCGCCCCCAAATCGTCTTATCTCTTGCATTGAAGAGGAGCTACTGCGCATGTACAACTTTTAACGAGAGTCCATAGACGGCTCAGGGCGCAATCTTTTGCGCCCTGAGGCGGAAATACGTCCTCAGTCCGACACAGACAACGCTGATGAGCTTAATCAATCCAACTCAGCATAAACTATAAAGTATTTCTTCCACATCTGAAATAAAACACACATACATTTCGAAATATTTTAATGTTATTATTTTTTTTAACGTTTTATTCAAGGTAACATGGCAAGTTGTGAGTGGTGGGGCGGCGCCCTAGCGCCCTCTATTGGCCGGCCGCCACTGCTGGTTGCCTTGCTTCTGTCAGTGTGCCCCAGGGCAGCTGTGGCGAGAGTAGTAGTCTATGACCACCGTGTATAGAATGAAAGCTAAATAATGAAAAGCGCCTTTTAGTGCCCATAAAAGTCTTATATAAAAATAGGTTTTATTATTATTATTTTTAAACTTATGAAACTATTAGAACTCCCAGAGCAGTCATATTGACAGTTCCCTTTCAAATCAATGGAATTATTCAAATCCATGGAGTTAGTTTTCCACCAGTTTTATAAAAAGTAAATAAAAAATGCTAAAACCGGTGAATATTACTTACAATTCAGCAAAATAGGCTTGGTTAAAGTCTATGGCCAACTGCTCACCACTACAATTAAACAGTGCGTTTCTATGGTAACCATTAATGGGTCTGATCTGGCGGAAAACCAAGCTGACGGGGCAATTCCACAATTGAATAAAAACATGACAAGACAGTAATTCTTAAATGTGCAGTGCTTTTTGTGACCTTGGTTTGTGGAATTCACAATATATCAATAAATATGACTTACTTTCTTTGAGACATGCAGATGTAAAGTTTGTATTAATATATGACCAAAACTAATTCAAAGACAATACTCTTGTTTTAAAAAGCAGAACAGGGCTTTAGCCATGATTTGAATAATGGAGCTAATTTTTTTGTAGCTCCACAAAAGATGTGATTTAAGGCAGCGTAAATATAAATAGTTAGTGTATTATTATTATTAAAATAATAATATTATGTTTTAGTCTTTGTAGAAGGCTCAGGATGTCAACAGTATCAGATATACAGTGATTTATACATCGTGAGATTCTGGGAATAAAGTTAAATTAGCTTTGTCTGACAGAGCTCGTCAGTGTTTGCACTTTGTAAACAGAAGCGTAATGAGAGAACAAGACGAGACGAGGAAATGCTTTAGAGAGAGTGAAGATAAGACAGATGTAAGCTGCTGTTAAATGATTGGTTATTGTTAATTTCTTACAAAAATAATTGTTCCTTAAGATTCTATTCTTAACTGAAATGTTCCAAATGTACTGTGATGGGAGACCTCTGGGAACACCAGGTGCCACAGTGGGGCGCCTGTAAAGTGCCAAACTGTTGTTGTGTCCTTAGGCAAGACACTTCCCCCACATTGCCTTTAATGAGTCTAGTGTGTCTGTGAATGGTTGGCAGTGCTCAGAGAGACTGATTGCCTCGTCGCTGTCAGTGGGCCCCAGGGCAGCTGTGGCCACAATAGTAGTTTATCACAACCGTGTATATAGTGAATTAATAATGACCTATGAAGAATCTTTGTATGTCAAAAAAAATGAAATGTATAAAACCAATGCATTCTTAAAATTATAATAATCAATTATTTATTTGTATTATATCATAAGCACATAATAACCAATGGACATTCATGTTTATTTGGTAAAAAATATTATTGTTCAAAGTGTTGACTTTGTTTGATGGCCAT